ATATTTATTCACATAGTTAATTGAGTTATACGTGCAAGTACACACACACATACACTTGCCATATAATACACATTCATTTATGCGAGGAGAATGATTCTTCTACCCAGACTAAGTCGTTATGGTTGAGTTCATGCTATTTTGTCAAACATTATTTTCTTAACGCTCATTTGAAAATCAGTTTCCTTTTGCACTTCGGCTTCCGCATTTCTTTGCCAGCTCCTTTTTATTCCCACACTCTATCGGTTTCTGTCTCTTTCATCCAATTCACTGTCGATTTACATGTTGTAAAACATCACAAAAACGCTGATAAGTTGCTGTTTGTTGCGATGGAGAGAGAAAAAGAGAGTTTATTAGTATTTGCTTTGCTCTTTGTTAGTTCTTCACTTCAGAGCTCGAAACATCCAAAAGTGGATTTTCAACACACACACACACACACACACACACACCAGATTCAACCATTTTAAAATGGTTTTTGGTTGTCGCTTCCGAAATATTGAATGTTGGCATGCATGTGTTTGCTTGTGTACGCTTGACATCTGACATTCGACATTATTAATCTTATTAGGAAATCAGTTAACGTTAAATGCATCTGCTAATTAAATTTTATTTCAAACGGATTTGCCAAAACTTAACTTTGTCCTTTAAGACAAAATACCCCTATATCATTAGCTCCGGTCTAATTTAAACACCATAGGGGAAGGTGGGGCAAATCGCCGCACTTTCACCCAAAGCCATACATAGCCATGAAAATGAAAAAAAAAAATGAAAATATACCTATTTCCATGTTGTAGCTTGTTCTTTTACCTAACTTTTATAGAAGAACATTTTTTATTTTGACCATCGGAAAAGTTAGTTATGGCCCTCGGCGCGGAAGTCCATTTTTTTGGATTTTCAAAAATGGTGGGGTAAATCGCCGCACCCCATGGGGTAAATCGCCGCAGCTGTATTTTCAGTGCGTTTTATAAGTTTATCTTTGAGAAATTGTTTATTTTATGATTTAATTATCTTCAGACATTCGAATATAAACAATTTCAACCATTGGTTGACTGATTTGAACGTTTCATGACTCTCAAAAAATAAAAGAAAACTAGTACCCAAAAGTGATGAAACGTACCCATTAAATGTTAACAATTTTGAACGTATATCAGTCAAAATTGGGTATTTTTGAGATCTGAAACTTTCTGTCGATAGGAATAGTGCCCATTTACATTGTTCCATCCACAGATATGAGTTATAAGCAGTTTTGAGTGGTTTATTTATCGGTTTGTTCAAACAAAAATACCATTTCTACGGCCATCAGTCTGAGGCTCATGTTGCAGCATGGGAATATCAAAATCAATCCGAGGCTTTGCCTCAACATGCCAAAACTTCTGCCGTTTTCGGATCTTAATTATCTTGACAATTGTTTGAGTTATGCCGCGCACAAGAAATGCGAACGCAGACTCGGATGACGCCATAAGCACATCACAGTTTTGGACATAACTCCGTCGAAAAATAATATTTTTGAGATCTGAAACTTTTGATTGATCGGTATAAAGTCCATCTACATTGCTACATTCACAGATATGAGTTTTGAGTGACCAATTAGCGGTAAAACGCAAAAATGAGGTGCGGCGATTTACCCCATATGTTTGTGCGGCGATTTACCCCACCGTCACTATTTCTGTTTGAAGCCAGATTTAACCACAAATATTAAAATACACTGCCAGCCTCCGGCCGTAAGGGCTTAATGTGAAACGTGCGTAGAACTCGGGCTGAAACCTAATTCGGGTTTGTCATAAGAATCGCGAGATGGTGGATCCTAACTTCGACTTGCATCATTTCTACTCAATTTGACTTCAAATCGATACACTAGAGGTACCCTTCACAATGTTGATCGGCATATAAGCCATATATCAATGGATAGGGCATATCAATGCCCATCATCTGGCAAAGTTTCATCAAGGCCGAACGTCCAGTTTCCCCGTAATGGGGCTTCAAAATTGAATTTCCAATACTTTTCTCTAAATTTCTTCATTACGACTTCAAATCGATACACTAGAGGTACCATTCACAGTGTTGACCGGCATATAAGCTATATACCGTTTGATAGAGGATACCCAGGCCCATATTCTGGCACATTTTCATCAAGGTCCAACACCCAGTTTC